TATAGATATAGATATATATACACTGGATAAGACTTCTAGGTCAGCAGGAAATGGCTTGAATGCATAAAGAAGAATCAGGCATAACAAACTTCTAGGTCGAACAATAATATTGTACAATGGAGAAAGACTATTGGTATGCATGCAGAAAAATAAGAATTAATAATCAAGAAAACACCTTCTATGAAAAAAGAAGAAGCTGAAAATCTGGAATAAATGGCAAATGTATGTGACAAAGTTAATCAGACCAGGAAATAGCAGAATTAGAAAGTAAATCTGATAACCCTCATCAGCATATTCAAAATGATACTTCCGATAGACGATATAGCACTATGGGTTGGAAACAGATTTCTGAAAATATACCATTTACCCCTCAAATTTCAAAAAGAAGAAGAGGAGGATAAATTAGACCTGAAGCTGTGAACAATCAAAATTTGGAGTTTCATCCATGTGCTGAAGAAGCCGGCCAGGAGTGCAAACCAGTATGTTCAGCTCATTTACGCGCTCCTTCTCTGCTTCAACATCTCTGCGACCACCAATTAGGAGGCCAGCACTAAAATTATGGTGCTTCCCAACCGCTTTTAACACATCAAAAGTTTGACTAGCTATTTCCCTTGTTGGAGATAGTATGATGCTGCCTACCCCATCCTGAGGACACCATCTCTCTCTATACAATTTTTCCACAAGCTGAAAGAGAACAAAATTAAAATATGATAGGGCATCAAAGGAGGGTTCTTTTATAACCATTGAAAAATGCCTATAGACTGACAGAGAAAGAATGGAAATTTTGAACACATCCCAACTTACCGGTATAACAAAAGCCAGAGTCTTTCCCGAGCCAGTCTTGGCGGCACCAAGAATATCTCTGCCACATAGAGCGTGGGGCAAAGACGCCCTCTGAATATCGGTCATTTCGATGTACTTGGATTGGCGTAAGGCGTCCTTGGTCTTCTTAGAGATGGGCAACTGGTCGAACCTGGTGGCACCAGCGTAGCGCGAGAAGATTGTGGGGCCGACGCGGCCGACGGGGGCGTCGGAGGGCAAAGGAGGAAGAGACATGGGGTTGGAGCCACATTCGGGTTGCTGGGATTCAATCCATGATTTCAGAAGCTCGATTTCTTGGAGCTCCGAAAGTTCCTTTTGCTTGCGGGAGGTCTTTGATATGGGTTTTCTCATTGTGGCTGGCTGTGTTTCAACTTCCGACTGGAAGAGAGACAGATGCTAGGTTTTTGGGTTTTAGAAAGAAAGCGGCGAGAGCGCTTCGGTAGTGACAAGGGTTTAAGCGTTTCCTTTCTGTTGACCAAAAAAACAAAAAAAAACTTTTCCTTTCTAAATTCTA